GCGGTGCCCAGAGCAACCTCAGTGTCTGGGGGCACCTTTCATCTCCAGGGGCCCCTCGCAGCCCCGGTGACTCAGGCCTGCGCTGAGCCTGCAGTTGCCCTGGGAATTTCCACGCAGGGATGGGTGGATCCAGCCTGGAATCCTGGGCTGTCCCCTGCTGGCCACTGTTTCTTCCTATCACCGGCCACAGAGCTTCCTGGGGTCCGGTTCCGATGCCCTCTGGCTGTGTGGCCCTGGCCAAGCGACCAGCACTCTGTGCTCCAACTTTCTCCCCAGGGGATCAGGAAGCTCAGCTGGGGCGAGAGCTGCTGAGTTTGTCCTATGCAGTGGCCAGTTCTGCACCTGACAGGTCCTGTGTCTGGGGAAGCCCAGGTGGGTGGGATGTTGACACCTGGGGGGCAGGGGTGGGAATGTGACTGGATTGCGAAGCTGTGTCTGGGAAGGCTGGCTGAGCCCCCAGGGCTCCTCTCCTCTGGGCCCACCCTGCGCTTTGGGTGCCTCTCCTTTGCAGAGACCCTCCGCTTTCCCGGGACCCAGCTTGGGTAGGGGGCTTGGAGCTGCTCATTGCCGTTCATCTTTACTTCCTTACTTTGCCAGCTGACGAGTCATTCTCAGGGAGCCCTTATCAATTCCTCACGCCTGCATTGTAATCAAGAGAGAAATCAGCTTTATGACCATATGATATCGGAGGCAGAGAATTACAAGAAAAGCTGTTATCCTCCAGAGAGTTGCAAAAACACCTCTAAACATGAAGCTGGAGGGCGACAACTTCCAGCTTCCTACCGTGCGCCGGGCAGTGCGAACGGCTCTTCACGTGTAGAGACCTTCCGTGGGACACGCACAGCAGCCCTGGGAAGCGGGAGCCATCATCTTTATTTGACGGGGGAAAAACCCAAACCAACCAGAAGCCCAGAGGGGACCAGCCCCTGCCCACAGTCCCGCACCGTGGCCGTGGCAGGGCCCAGACACAGACCCCTGCACTGGGGCTCAGCATCTCTCGCCACAACCAGGGCACGAGTTGCGTAACGTCCCATCTCACACAACCTTGATTAAGCTAATAGCTGATTTGGCTTTGATCCGATGTATTTTGATCTTATTATTTTTATGTTAGAAGCCTCCAAATAACCATCATTTCGACAGTGCCCCAATTAGCAGGCCATTCACAGTGGATTGGAAATTGACTCGCATCGGGCCTCTCCATTAGCGCCTGGGAGAGTCTTCCAGCCTTAATTACCCACCCCGCTCCCGTTCCCGGAACGGAGGCCCGACCGCCGATGCGCTGCAGGTGGCTGCATGAGGGGTGAGTCAGCGCTGCCCACCTCCAGGGGGAGGGCTGGCAGCATGGGGCTGTGGCCACTAACACTTCTAAAGACCCCAGATATGACTTTGATGGTGAGATGGGGATGTCCAAGGAAGGGGGCAGGAAACTGACATCTGTTTAGCATCTTTCTCGTGCACAGCGTGGTATTGGCACTTGCTACCCGCGTCTAAGTCAGTGCCCACAGGCTCTGCTGGTACAGAGTCTTCTCTCTGCTTAATGGAAAACAAAGGCTAAGAAATGGGGTGTCCATGACCACACTGCCACTGACCAGAGGAGCCAAGACTGGAACTTGGGTCTGTGGGATTCTAACGCTCTTTCTGCTGCCCCCGGTGAGGGAGCTGCCTGGTCCCGTGCCATTGTTACTTTGTCCTTTATGCTGCTCTCCCTGTGGGGGACCCTGAAAGGGGTCAAAGCCCTTTCCTTCCACTGAGGCTAACCCCACGTGAGCTCACCCTCCGGTGTGCCCCAGGCAGCTTCCTCTCTCTTTGCTCAGGCTGAATCGTGGCGTCTGTCTGCTCTGTGGGCCCTAAGCTCCTCAGAGGTGGGACCTGTGGTCATCCTGCTCTGCCTGCCACCATGCTCAGGGCAGGGGCTTGCGTATTGTGGGGGTGCCGAGCATATGTGCGAAACCTACAGGCGGGCAGGAGCCACTCTGCGGTGCACAGTGGCATGTGTGCCCAGATGGGGAAACGGAGGCTCAGAGAGGTTCTGCAACTTCAGAACCTGGTGTATATGGAGTGGGGACGGGACTTACCATTATAATTCAGGTGATGACTTGGGAGGGAGCCGGGCAGGTGGGGCAACAAGAGCCAGGCGTGACTGACGCCTACAGGGAGGGCTGTGCCTTGCGGGTCCTGGGATGGGACCATCCCTCCACAATCAAGGGCGGGGGCTCCTGGGCAACTCGTGCCTGAGCGATGTGCAGTTTATTTTCTAAGATTCTTTTAAAAACTGTGAATGCAACGTGTTGGCATTGAAGAGAGCACGCACAAGAAAAGAAAGAAAAAAATCCATTCGTCGTCATAGCACCTTAGTTTTTGGCGTTTTCTCCTGCCTTTTGTATAAGTGTGCTTTCTATCTAGCCGTGATCACGGTGAGCATATAATTTTGCGCCCTGGTTTTCTCACTGGGCCACCTCTCAGAAGCACTTTTCTCATGTGTGTGACAACGCTCGTTGTGTGGCCTCCCGTCTCATTTTCTGGAAAATGGACGCAGTGATCCCTACATAGATGTCCTCAGAGTGACGTGAATTCACGTATATAAGGGACAGAGAATTTGACACAAAGGAAATTCTTGCACAATAGTCCCTCCTCCTTCGTAGCTTTCTTACTTATCCATTTTTACAGGATTATTTTCTTTTTCTAAAGGAATTATCTGTTCATGTCACAAAATTTTGGCAAATACAGAAAAGAAAGAAAATCATTTCTAGGCTTCTTCTAAATTGCAGTCACTTTTAACATCGTGCAATACTTTCTTCTGGTCTTCCTTTTATGTATGTTGATGTTTTATTTAATTGATATCATAAAATGTGTACAATTTTGTATTATTTTCACATACCTTTTTATGACAAGCACTTTTCTGAGTTGCTGTAGTATCTTCATGAATAGTTTTAGGGCTGCTTGTGTGTTCAGCAAACGGAGCACTTTTATAACCACGCGCCAATTTGCATCTTTTAGGTCATTAGCAATATTCCAAGAGTATGGATAAGTGTCTTCTGAATGATTTTGGATCTAGTGCTGTTCCCCTGGTTTGGACAGGTGCCCAGAGAGGGATTATTGATCAGGGGCACGGAAATGTCAAGGCCCGTGATCTCCCTGCATGAGTCTTTACCGCCTGCCATGCGCAGGGCTTGGCATGTGTCTGGGGAGGGACCCTCATCCTCCCGCAGCTTTGGGGCCAGTGGGGGAGCCAGACGGTTACCAGGCAGCATGTGGTGCCGTGACAGGGGAAGTTCGGTGAAGGGGCGTCACACCACGAGGGTCCCGAGCCGGCCTGGGGACGTGGAGTCTGCGTCCTGAAGCACGCGTGAGCGTGAAAGGTGAAGAGGGGGAGTCGGAGGGGCCGGCTGGGCAGCTGGCCGGAGCACAGCAGCGGGTTGTGGTGAGGAGCGAGGCTGCAGGCCTGGGAGCCTGCAAGACCACCATGAGGAGTGTGACCTCATCTCCAAGGATCGCGGGAGGGACTGCAGGGCTTCAAACGGCGCGACACAGCTGGATTTCTGCTTCGGAGGGAACTCGGCCTTGTTCGTCCTGGGTGGGGGGTGTGCAGAGCGTCTGGGGGGCTGTGAGATTCCCAAGAGAGACTTCGTTGTCCCTCGTTTGACCACCCCTGCCCCTGGCCTTGTGTTTGGAGGCCGAGGGTTCAGCAGGGAGGACTGTGGTGTGTGAGTTACTGTCCCACTAATGCTGGCGACAGCGCAAGGTGAGCGCCCTCACGTGGGGAGCAGCGGCCTTTCGGGCCGCAGAGTGCGGGGCCTCCCCTTCCCGCACCTCCCTCAGCCTCCCCCTGCCTTACTCCTTGGGGTTGGTTGCCCCATTCTTCTCCCCTTCTCCTGGGCCCGAGGCGTTCCGTTCCGTTCCGTAAGCGCAGGGGCTCTGGCGGAAAGGACTGCGTTGTCAAAGTTGTTCGAAGTCTGCCGTGCGCAGCAGATGGCCGGCTGCCATTCACAGGCTGTGTTTTGAAACTGCATCTGCTTCCCCACATTCCTGCCATCGCAGAAGCCATTAGTAAGAAATGTTTGCCTCCAAACTGGTGCAGTGGGTTGCGGCGTTGGGAGGGGCAACTTTCTATTAATCGGCATGATGCCCCCAGAAGGCGTGGGCCGGTGGCTAAAAGGGGCGCCCCTCGTGGTTACGGGAGGGCTTCCAAAGGTGAGCCCTGAGCGCGTCAGCCCTGCACACAGCCGCGCGCCTTTGTCGTGTTCCTCTCCGCACCGAGGTGACCTCGAGCTGCGGGAGCGTCCTCCTCTGTTACTGTCAATGGCTTTTCAATAATCCTGGGCTTCTGGGACAGCTGCCTCATCTGGGGTTTGACCCGGAATTTCTATGATGTGAATCATGTGGACTTGGCCGGAAGACCTAGGGTTTCTGCCCTTTTTTTTTTTTTTTGCCTACAACCTGTGTCCTCTGGGGTAAGTGTCTCCCTGACTTTCTGGTGTCATTGGGTCCCTTCATCCCCAATCAGTTCGGTTCGGCCAACTACCGTAGAGCACGAGGTATATTCTCCATCCCCGGCTAGGCCATTGGGGACACAGATCAGCACAACACGTTTTTGGCCCTTAAAGGCCTCACAGTCCCAGGTGGGAAACGGGATGGCTAATTTCGCAGCTCTGCTGGGGGGTGGGGCAGGCAGACTTGGGATGGATCCCCGTTTTGCCATCCCTCCTGGAGTATCCTAGGGCAAATGATTTTGCCCCTTCCGACCTCCATTTTGTCATCTGTTAAATGGGCACAGAAATGTCTAGGCTGCATTTTCACCAAGAGTATCAGTGAGACTGTGCCCATGAGAGCAGCTGGCCTCGCCTGGGGTGGGTTTTTGGTCCCTGAAGGGAGGCAGCTTCCCTGGGGGTGGGGGGTTTCAGGTGGCACCAGCGTGAGCTCCTGGGCGTGGGCCATGCGAGTGGAAGCTGGCGCAGCACCGCCCAATGCTGACCCGTCTCTCTCTCTCCCCTCTCTTCCAGCCTGTGACCTCATGACCCAGGGGATTTTGGCCTTGGTCACGTCCACCGGCTGTGCATCCGCCAACGCCCTGCAGTCCCTCACGGACGCCATGCACATCCCCCACCTCTTTGTCCAGCGCAACCCGGGGGGGTCACCGCGCACCGCCTGCCACCTGAACCCTAGCCCCGATGGCGAGGCCTACACACTGGCCTCGAGACCGCCAGTCCGCCTCAACGACGTCATGCTCAGGCTGGTGACAGAGCTCCGCTGGCAGAAGTTCGTCATGTTCTACGACAGCGAGTACGGTGAGTGGGTGGGCGGGCGGAGGTGCAGGGACAGGCCAGGTGTGGGGAGGCCCAAGAGTGGCTGGGGCCATGGCAGGCGGCAGGTGGTCTGAGCTGAGTGGGCCTCGGGGTGGTAGGGCCCAACCTGAGCTTCAGGAGCGGGGGAAGCTGCAGAACAGATCCACAGATAGGCGCTAAAGTTGCCTAGCAACCACACCTTATCATGACAGCTGAAGTTTGAATCATCGTGGAGGTTTCGATAAAATATTAATAAACTGCTGGCAGGGATCCAAAGGGTGCAATGCCGGCGGCAGTGGAGGCCGGCCAGCACGGCCCTCCCGGAGGCCTCCGCTCCGGCGGCTGCCCTTCACCCTGGACGGTCACCGACCTTCTCTGCCCTGGCCCCATCTGCCTGATCTGCCCTCGGCTTCAGGGTCGCAGGGTGGGCAAAGGTCAGGGGGAGGGAGAGTCGGTCTGGGGATGCTGGGCATGGCCGGGCATGGCCTCTTTGAAGACATCTCCTAAGAAGAAAATCATAATTTGCTTGTTAGGAAACCTCAAAAATGGGCTTTGGAGAAATGGCTTCAGGTTTTCTTATGGCTGTTCTGTAAAAACAGACCCAGTCCTGAGATGAAATGGTGTCCGTGTTTTGTGTTTTTTTAAAAATAATTTAAAAAGCATTCTGAGAAAATGTAGACTCACACACAATCATAAGAAACAATACAGGGAGACCCTGCGTGCCCAGGCTCCCCAGAGGTGACACCCTGTGTGACTGCAGTGCGGTGTCACAGCCGGGATTGATGCGGAGCACACCCTGTCCATGTGTCATCTGTTCCCATGGACCGCACTGCCGTGCAGGTCTGCCCCTGTGCAGTGTTATTGCATGCGTGGGCTCCCGGGACCGCCGGTCGGGATGCGGACGCACCCTCACAAGGACTGGCCCCCCCCCCCCAGCATGTGTTAGAGGGCGTGGGCACTCGTGAGGGTTGGCAGCCCCGTGGCCAGGGCAGGGATGGAATGGGAGGACCTTCGAAAGTTCCATTTTTGTCTCTTGGTGAAATAATTCCTTTGCCAAGAATGTAACTAAGAAAAGAAATCAGCATATGTTTGCATTTGCCTAAATACTCTGCTGCTCTAAGACCGGAATGTTGTCCTCAGCTCTTGAGCAAATATGCTATTTGGAGTCTTCCAGGAAGAATTGAAAGAGCAAACAGTCACAGTGCTGAAATAATGATGAGGCGGTGATGGGGACAAGGGTGGCCCGAGGCTCTGGAGACCTGAAACTGGACTCTGTCCAGGACCTGGCCTCACCCTCCGACCCTCCCACCCCTGCTTGGTCCTGGCCCTTGGGGAGGAGTTGGAGACCTTGTAACAGCCCTGAGGTGTGCACAGGCATCTCTTAGGGGCCAGGCCTTCCTCTGAGAACCCGCTGGGCTGCAGGCTCAGCCCCAAAGTCCGGTCTGCTTTGAGGCTGGGCCCTGTGGGGAGGGGTGGATGTGTCCAGGGCTGGGGATACTGTGGTCCAGTGTGCCCAGGCCATTCCCACCCCACTTCTCCCCTTTTGCTCTGGCCTACAGACGTAGTTCTCCCCAGGGCCTGGGAGGGGCCTTGGTGGGAGCCTCGGCCACTGGGAGGGTAGATGATCCGCTCTCCAGCATGCCCACCCCGTCTGGGCTCCTGTGATTCCTGCAGATGCATGAGGCCTGGTGACACTTGCCCAAACCCTGTGTTTTCATCGCACCCCCTGCTCCTACTCCGCTCAAGAAGCAATTGCTCAAAGAAAGTCGTCCCTGAACCCCACCTGCCCTGCAGAGCTGGCAACATGGTTACACCCTCTCACACACACACACACTTCTGCCCTCACCTGCGCTCGGCTTGTCTCGACACTCACGAGGGCTGGTTCCCAACGAGCACTGGACTCCCAGGCCAGGCGGCAAGCTCCAGGAAAGGGGCTCTGTGCTTTTCCCTGCTGCACACAGTGGCCCCTCAAGAAACAGTCACGGTGTGAACGAACATGCATGACATGGAGTTTTCAAACCATTTCGCACAAGACGAAGGAGAAACAGGGAGAAAGACAGGGGTACCTGATAGCCCGACCTCTGAGTCCGAGTTGGGCTGGAAGACAGACATTTCGTTCCGCAGACACCCTCCCCCGCCATTCTTCTCTCTTACTCAGAACCTCCAACCAGACCAAAAGGTGTGCCCCTCTTTTCTGACACGAGCACCTTTGCTACGTTGGGTGGGGTTGAAGTTAGTTTCTAATCAGACTGCCTTTTTTCAGTAATTCCAGAAGGGTGCAGGGGACCAGTAGCTTTCATCTGGTGGGCCACTGTGGGTGGTTGGTGAGGCTTCCCTAGGTGCTGTGTGGGAAGGATTCTGAGGCTGTACGTGGGCTCAGCAAGAGAAGGCACCATGGTCACTCCGGGAGGCTTCCGTGGCGGAAGTGGGAGCCTGTCGGAGATCTTGGTGGATCCTGACCCGGGAGCTGGAGGTGAGCAGGGCACCTTGGAGCTACCATCCGCAGTCGGGAGACTGGCAGAGCCTGGGCGCCCGCAGTGCTGTCCAGGGTGCTGACCCATTTGGCTGCTAGCTTTCTGGAGGCCAGAGAGCTCTTTTATTGGATTGTGCAGGACCTCCTGCCTTTACCTGCCCTGGTCATCGGCCTCCTGACTTGACAACATTTGAGGCTGGGTTTCTGCCCCTACACATTCTCTGTAAAACTTTAGCTACCCCAACGCCACTGCTTGTCCCGGTTTTTCCCCTCTTGCACAGCCCAGCCTCTGGCCTGCTTTCCAACACGCCCCGTGTTAGATGAGCCGAGGCAGTTGCAGCCTACTTGCCGTTCGATGCAGCACATCTGGCCCTGGAATGTGGGGGTGGCTGCTCCCTCAGCATGCTGGCAGAGGCCTGTCCCAGTGGCACTCGGGGGTGAATTTACATTGCCCGTACGGCCGAGACAGACCGTGCCTGCAGACCTCCTCCGGGCCCCTCCTCCACCCCACTCACCGCAGCACTGGCTGCAGATGAGCCCAATTAAAAAGGAAATTGAGTGTAAGGGCTGTTTCGTTTCTTCCAAAGTCAAACAGAAGTGGTTTAGGGACACAGCGACTCTTCGATGCTGATCTGCAAGTATCTTCACACACATTATTTCGTGCTAGCCGCCCAACAACACTCTGAGGGGGGATTATCGCTGTGTTTTACAGAGGAGGAAGATGAGGCTGAGGGAAGTTCTTTTTGACTTTCAGACCCATGCATTTAGACAAGGCATCATCTTATTTCTGGAATTTGGGGCTTGCTAGGCTCTAGCTTTTCTCTCCTGATGCCGAGGAGGGAGGGGTGGTTTGGAAGGGACTTGGCAGGCCCTAGGCTGTTGCCATCAGTCACTTTAGTGAACGTGGTACGTAGGCTCCCGCCTTTGCAGGGCGAGGCCTGATGCTTCCTCATTTGCCCATCGGCTTCTCTTTGAACCCAGGAGGGCCCTGCCCCGGGCGGAGGCTGAGCACTGTGCATTCAGGTCGGGAGGTGGAGACCAGAGACAGAAATTGGCAGACGGGTGAGAGAGGAGTTGGTGTGTGTGTGGTTCACAAAATGTGAGATGTGCCATTTGGTAAAATTCCATTGAAAATACTTGTATGCTTGTTGTGACAGCGAAAGGAAATGAAAGAGAAACTGACATTTTTGGAGAGAAAATTTGTAAGATTAAAATACCAAAAGTTTGGATCAAACAGAACGGAGAACTTTCTGACTTGCCACTTCAAATGCTGGGATATTCATTGTGTGTGTGTGTGTGTGTGTGTGTGTGTGTGTGTGTGTGTGTGTGTGTGGCGCGGGGGGTGGCGGTGCTGGTAGCTGTAGCCACGATTTCCCTCTACTGAATACATTTGGATCAGGGCTGTAATTATGATGGGATCTCAGATATCTTTGACTCATTCATTCAGCAGATACTCACTGAGTCCCTCCCGTGTGCCATGCATTTTGCTAGGCGCTCATTTTAGGCGAAGACACAGATGGGTGAAGTAGCTTGGCTCGTGTTGCACAGGGCTGGGATTGGAAGCCGGGGCCCGGGCGCTCTTCCCTCCCCAGCATCTCCGGGGTGTGGTGGACCCCTCTTGGCCTCTGGGCCAGCTCGCAGGCCTGGAATGGGTTGGGAGCTGGGATTCTGCAGAAACAAAGTGTCAGGGCTCTGTATGAGTGACAGCTGTCTATTTGTTCTAGTTTTAAAATTATTTTTTAAAAACTTGAAAGTTATACGTGGTTACAATGTGTATATCCAATAAAGAGAATAATAATAAAGTGAATGCTCACGAACCCAGAATCAGTTTAAAAAATATGAGGGCACCCTTGTGTGCTTCACCCTGATTTTGTCCTTCCTGACAGGGAATGTAACCACTGTCCTGCGTGCTAACCAGTCCCTTGCTTTCCTTGAGGGTTTTATCATTCAAGTTTTATCATTTTAGATTCTAAAATACACAATGAGTAGTTGCTTTTTTTTTTGTGAATCTTATATATGTGGAATAACACTTCTGTATGCTTCTGTGATTGCTTTTTTCACTCAATATGAGGTTTTTGGGATGCGGGTGGGTATATTAATCATTTTTATTACTGTATAGTATGCCATGATTTATTTATTCATTTTATTGTCAATGGACATTTGGTTTGTTTCTGGGTTTTTGCTATTACAGATAATGCAGATAAGAACATTCTCATATTTGTTTATTGGTGTTTGTGTGCAAGAGTTTTTGAGGGTCTATTCTGAGGAGCAGAATTGCCGGGCTCTTGGGTAGATGCACATCTCACTTTGTTGGGTTAGACCAAATTGTCTTCCAGAGCATTCCTACCTATTCACCCTACCATCTGCAACACAGGAGAGTTCTCCCCGTCCCCCAGCCCCACCAGCCCTTTGTATTGCTTTTACTTTTAAGTTTCTCGTGTAAAATGGTATCCTACTGTGATTTTAATTTACGTTTTCTTGATGACAGAGGAGATGGAGCACCTTTTCATGTCTTTATGGGCTATTTTTG